CCTGACATCTGCTTCTTTAAAAAATACAGCCAAGAAAACCCTACAGAGCAATCTACTTTATAACATTTGGGGTCTCCTAAGTCTCAAACATCAAAAATAAAATCAATAATAGAACCTCTCCTCAGGGTTAAAGACTGAGTCCTCATACTCAATGAGGTCACCAAGGCACATCATCCCTGGCCACTGAGCAGAGGTAAGGTGGTATTGGCAGCCTACAGGCTCTCCAGCATCCTTGGACTGACTTCTACCATGAGCAGAGCTCTCAGCCTCCACCTGTAGCTGGAACTACTGCTTCCATTCTCCATATTCCCTGCCCAAGTCCTTAGAGGAGAACCACCAACCCCTGGAATGTACCTGTGCAAGCTTAAGCTTCATTCACAGCATGGTGAATTTGCCTCTGCAGCAGAGCTTACAGTAGCTACTGATGGATTGGATGTGGGAAGTGACATGCTAAGGACTTGAACTGTAAAGGATGACTACTAGGTTTTTGGTCTCATGAATTGAGTGCATGGTGATGCCATGTATTGAGATGAGAAAAAATTATAATAGAGTTGCAGATTGGGGAGAAAAGGAGAAATTAAAAAAAAAAAAAATTGTATTAGTTTCCTGTGGTTGCCATAATAGATTACTACAAACTTGGTGGCTTTAAACAGCAGAAATTTATTTTATCACAGTTTTAGAGGCCAGAAATTGTTTCACTGAGCTGAAATTAAGCTTTCAGCAACATTGCAGTTCCATTGAAAGCTCTGGAGAAGAATTGGGTCTTTGCTTATTCCAACTTCTGATGGCTCGAGGCATTCCTTGACTTGTGGCCTCATCACTCCAATCTCTTCCTTCTTGTTTACATTACCTTGTCTTCGGTGTGTATCATATTTCCTTCTCTTATAAGGACACTTGTGATTGCATTTAGGGTCCTAGATTTGCAAGCAGTGAGGTTTTTTTTTGTTGTTGTTGTTTATTTGTTTTTCCCCTTTGGATAATCCAGGCTATTCTCTTCATGCCAAGATCCTTAATTTAATTATGTCTACAAAGATCCTTTTTCCTTACAGGGAACCATTTATAGATTCCAGTTTTCTCTGGGTGTCTGGGTGGCCACTACTTAGCCTACTCCAGACGTGTTAAGTTTGAGATACTTGTTACACATCCAAGTGAAGAATGGAAAGGATTTACTGTGTGTGATTTAAAAGCAGAGCAGCAAGGAAAGAATGATTCTAAATCCACTATATATAACAATAAAGCTCCCCTTCTTCTGATTAATGAAATCTGTACAGCAGGAGAAAATGAAAATAGTGAAAAGTTGGAGCACATTCAAAATCTGAAGGTCATTTAAATTGTTGTGTTCATTTAATTATGAGTAAATGCATACTGCCTTTCAGGGTAAGTTAGCAGAGGGCAGGGATTAGGTCACATAAACACATTTTATAGAAGGTCCAGTGTACTACTAAGTGGCATTAAAAGTCAAGAAAAGTAAAGATAAAAGAATCATAATGAGATGTATCTTATTTTCAGATTTTCTTGTACCAGACAATCCTGAATATAAAACTGGGTAATTATGTCTAAGGAGCAAAATGTTACGGAGGATCAAACTACCTTTGAAAGTCAAAGAACTTATACTCTGAAATGTAATGTGCATAGCCTTTACCTGAAAGAGCTTTTCACTATTCATGTTTGGAATCATGAAAGGAATCCATGACACTACAAGGGATTCCTAATGACACGATGTGCTGTACCGACCTCTAGCTATGCATTAGGGTGTAGGACAGTATCAGAGAGTTATAAAGGTCTTTTGTGTAGTAATAAATGATCAATTCAGAGTTTCAGACAGAGGATCATGATTTATATTTTTGGTTTAAAAAAAAAAAAAGGAAAATCGAGGTTGTTTAATTGTTTGCTTAATCTGCTGAGTAGTAAACTAATTTCTAACTCATTTGTCAAACATGAAACTTCTTTATCTGAAGGAAGGGACAGAAAGATTTTTTTTTTTTTTTTCATCATTATCGATCAATGAATCAATACAATGTTTAGTAAATACTGTTGAGAAATCCTAAAGTTTATTTTCCTTGAAGCCACACAAAGTAAATGTAGTACTTTGGCCACTTTACTTGCCATGCTATTATTTCCACGTGGCTCTTTTTTCTCTCTCTTTTGGTTAAAAAAAGAATAGTTTTGCTTTGTGAAAAGTACCACTTAGTTAAGAGAGTATTTGAGATATGCTTCCTAATGGTTATATCAAATATGTTTAGTTGATTTACAAAATAAATAAATAAATCTTTAAATAAAAACTTTTGGTGTTTCTGGCCTTAGTAGCAATCAGCAGGGCCCAATTCAAAACATTTTATTCTAAGATACAGTTATAACTTCTAAGCAATAATAAATGTGCAGCATTTGGATATTAATGATTCTGTAATAGTTTATAAAATAAACAGAATGTATATAAAAAAAGAAAATAATAATGCTAATGATCAATATTAAAATTCTTTCACAGAAAGCTGCCATCTAGAAATACTGTCATGAGTTGGACATGTAGCAGGAGGGATGTTATGGAGTCTGTGGCTCGGAAATCTGAAGAGCAGTGGACGTGTATGGTCTGTACACTAATCAATAAGCCTTCTTCTAAGGCATGTGATGCTTGCTTGACTTCAAGGCCAAACGGTAAGACTGGATTTCGATTTTGAGTTCCATTTCTAACAGCGTTAATTATACAAAGTCAGGTAATATCTTGTTCTATCTTAACAGTCAATAACTAAGTAAAACACTTTCTTTCTGAGAAGTTTAAAGGAATTGCCAGCCTCTGCATGTAAACCATGCTAATATTCTGTTGAGTACTTTTTTTTAACAGGGAGGGAAACATGCTTGTGCTAAAACAGTATGTGCCTTTGTATCTCAAAAAACTGAGATGATCACATCTGTTCTCTACTGTTTCTAATGAATTATTCAATAAAGCTTTGTTTTATGCAGATTTCAGCAACTTTCAAGTTTGTTATTCAGTCTAAGTGTTTCATAAATTGAAAGGAAGGATTTCTGTAAGAATATCCTTGCAGGTGGAATAGAAAAATGCTGAAATTTTTTCTCTTCTTTATCCTTCCTACCCCTTGTTATTAAAATCTTTACCCAGACAATTGTACTGATTTCATTGAAATCCTTCAAAATAACTCTTTGTAGCTTACAATTTCATGCGTTCAGAAAATGTAAAACCTCAGAGGAAACCTGTGATTAAGAACCATCTCATTGATGGTGCTCCTATTGTGTTCTCAAAGTGTTATTTCTTTCTTCAATTAGAGATGAGAAAGTTCATTCTTGACTTATGGACCCCTGCATTGTATTATCTGTCATCTTGTGTTTTGTACCCTGGCCAGAAAGGCGGGCATCACCCCTTGAACAGCTTTTCTAGTAGCCAAAGGGATGGTGCCAGCTATTTCTATCCCTCCCTGTTCAGTATCACTCAGCAGAGCAAGCCCTTGGAACCTTAGGTTTCTACATTTATTTCAAAAATCTGAAATGCTTTTGCATATCTTATTTACCAATTTTCATATTATTTTTCACTGTGTATGGAAGACTTATGTCATTACAATTCAGAATGTACTATACTACAGATTCCAAAATCTTGTAATACTTGATTTCAGCAGTATAGTCAATAAATGTTATCTTTATTTTACTTTACTTATAGATATAGGCCTCTAACTGCAAACCTAAAGCTTTATGGGATATCATTTCTTAATTACCACTGCTTTAATATGTTGTCTTATAATACTTAAAAATGATAGTTGAATAATCTTTAATTGCTTAAACATAACACAAAACAAATAAAAATCTTTCTTAACCTTTCTTGAGGTCCTTACAAGTTCCTCTCAGAAAGCAGTTAATTCTGAAACCCCCATACTAACTTGGCATAATATCATAAGTGAAATAAATGTCTTAAATATAAAGATGTCCTCAATAGTACATTTTATTTACAGGAATATTGCAGAATTAATTTTCTCTCCTTACAGATTCAGTACCTAAGAATGAAGAAAATTCTATTGCCTTTAATAACTTAGTGAAGTATCCTTGTAATAACTTTGGAAAACCAAATACAGAAATGAAGATCAATAGGAAAACTGCTTTTGGAACTACAACCCTTGTCTTGACTGATTTTAGCAATAAATCCTGTACTTTGGAAGGAAAGAAAAGCCAAAACCAGATACTAGATGGGGAATTTCAAAACTCTCCTCTCACTAATGTTTGTTTTAGTGATACAGAGCACCCCTCCAAAGAGAGAACGAACTATATAACTCAACTATCTAACAAAGTAAACATATCACCAACGGTCGGCTCTCAGTCTAAATTATTTAGCCCAGCACATAAAAAATTGAAAACAGCCCACTCATCACCAGATCTCAAAAGTTGTAAGCTTGGATTTTCAAACAGGTAGGATGCTTCTAACCTTGGTCTTTAAGGTATTTACATTGCATTTTAAGAAGACAGAAAAATCACTCCTTATTAATAAGGAATTTGAATTGATTTTGGTTATATAAATCAAATTCTGAGAGACTGTTATCAAAGGACCTTGCCTCCCTTCCCTTCTCTAATTTTTCCCTTAGAGAGTAGAAGAGAATCAAAAACTAATTTGCTACACCTATGAAAAAAATAAATAAATCCACCTAATACCATATATGCAGGATCTCTGGTGGTGTAGTGCCTAAGGCATTTGATTGCTAAATGGGAGGCTGGCTGTTCAAACCCACCAGTCACTCCTTGAAAGGAAGATTGGGCAATCTACTTCCATAGCGATACTGCTTTGGAAACCCAGGGAGGGGTCTCTATGAGTCAGATCTGACTCGATGGCAGTGAGTTTGGTTTTTTGGTTTTTTATCATCATATTCATGCTTGATACAGAATATTTGGAAATTATTGCAAAGTATAAAGATAAAATTTCAATTTCCCATAATCATACCGATCTTTCGTGAGCACAGTTAGCATTGTTTTCTGTTTCCTTTCGATAAAAGATAATTCTTCCAAAAGGGAAACTGTCATTTATAAAGGTTCATAAGTGCCCATCTATCCTAAAGAGGGCAATGGTTAACTGTCTTGGCTACTGACCAAGAGGCTGGCATTTCTAGTTCACATGGACACACCTTAGAAGAAAGGCCTTCAATCTACGCCTGAAAAATCAGCCACTGAAAGCCATATGGAGCATAGTTTTACTCTGACACACATGCGGTTACCATGAGTCAAAATCTTTTCAATGGCAACTGGTTATTATAAGAAGAGGGATTTGAGTTACCTTTAGTGAAAGGTGTGATGGTTTTATTTCAACCAAAAAGGCCCAGGGAGCATATATGCTATTTTTATATTTCCAATTAAAAAGTTGTAATTCTAGTACAAAGTGCTACCTGACCAGATAAGAAGCTCTGGTGGCACAGTACCTAAGGCATTTGACTGCTAACCAGAAGGTTGGTGGTTCAAACTCACCAGATATATTTTATGAGACTTCGAGATATATATCTAGAAGACCTCTGATTGTTGTCATCAGAGTCATAGAAATTTCAATAAACAGTATTATCTACTGTTCTTTACTACCAATTTTCTGTGGACAATTCTGCCCTACTTTGTTGCATCTCTTTATTTTAAGCTTCCTAATACAACTTGATATACCTCCATCAGAGAAAAGTGTTTCTCCACCCTTTCTTGTCCAGGCTACTTGGGTTTTTTGGTTGGTTGGTTGTTTAATTTTTTCATTCCTTCAGAAAGCAGGTGCTATGCATAAAGCATTATTTAACAGAATGAAGAATATATAACGTGAAGGAAGGGTCTTCTTCCCAGTTACAAATGCCTTGCCAGTGGGAAACAAACAGACAAAGTGTTAGTATGGGTGGTATTTGAGGTACTCTAAGGAGCTCTGGTAGCATAGTGGCTAAGGCACTTGACTGCTAACCAGAAGGCTGGCGGTTCAAACCCACCAGCCACTCCTCGGAAGGAAGGTTGGGCAATCCTACTTCCGTAGTGATACTGCCTCGGAAACCCAAGGAGGGGTCGCTATGAGTCGGGTCCGACTCGACGGCACATAACAACAACAACAACAACAACAAGGAGGAATTCTGTTTGCTCTTTCTCTAATTGATTGTGCCTTAGCTGATGGTGAGAATCTCCCTGTGGCAATGGAATGAGTGGCCAGCTGGTGTGTACTCCCAGACTGACCTCTGGGAATCCTTATGGCTATTTGCCAAAGGGACAGGGAGGCTGCATCTTCTGACCTTCTCTAACTCCACAAGAGGAAGACAGAATCACCATCAATAGCCCAAGGCCTATTCCTGTGGGGCCATACATGCTGCCTTCTCCAGCCCTTTCATCAACCCTGACACCAACTGTTCCTCCGCAGCACCCACCACCTTTCTGCTGGGTTCGATAATTTGCTGCAGTGGCCATACAGAACTCATGGATGATAAGTTTTATTAGGGAAGCACCAATTTACAATTCAAGTTCAGAAACAACATTCAGTTCCTCTCAGCCTACTGTCTCTCAGCCAACAGTCTCTCTCCCAGCAGTGCATGTCTCTCAGTGTCTCTTTCTAAGCACACGTGTCTCTCAGGAGTGTGTTTCTCTCAGCAGCACATCTTCCTCAGCCAGTAGTCAGAGAGACTTCTTCTGCCTCTAGAAGGGCTCCTTTTTGAGCCTGGCAGAGTGGACAAAATAACCAATCCCAACATCAGAATTCTGTACATCTGAGAGAGAGAGCTAACTTCCCAGAAAATTACTTGGTGCTACCCACAACAGAAATACCCCAGGGGGATAACTTTAACAATCAGGAGCTACTCAGTTGCTCATGTCAAATTCCACCACAGAGTTTACAAAGATTTATGGCTAGAAAAGCCATACCAGGTAATTTACTACACCTCACTATTCCACAACTGCTAGGTGATTTTTGGTCAAAGGATGCATTTATCTCAGTTTTTCTACCTCAACTTTAAATTACCATCAGTGGACTGTGATGGTTTATCCTTGACTTATTTTTTTAAATATTTTGTTTGTAAACATTTTTGATAACTTGATTAACTTTTGCCCATATGGTCATAAATGATAGACATTTGAATTAAACTATGGGAGCCAAACTTTTGATTGACTTAATGAATATACTACCTTTTAATTTAACCCTATTTAATGCCTTGTGATGGAAGTTTATTAAGAAGTTAGTTAAGAGTATATGCGTTAGAAGGCTATCCTAGACCAGAAAATCAGTTTTGAACAGTCTGTTCTTTCTCTCACATAAATGGAAAGAAACAGAAATAATCATTGTAAAATATTGTGTCATTCATTGTACCCTGATGAAATATCGTGGCGTATTTTTTTTTTTCCCTTAGTGTGTTGTAGAAAATCTCAGACAATTTAACTAATGAATTAGGGATTTAAAAAAACATTACTGTAACCTTAAATTTAAATGATTTCTTCATAAGCCATTAGTAATAGCATCATATGATTAATCACAGTGCACAGTGTTACTTAGAAATGCTGCAGCATGTGTTATGTGTTGAATATAAGAACACCAGGACTGAGCCTCTACAATCAATCAAGATCAACTAGCAGAATAAATGTCAAGTGATGAAATAAATTCACCCAGCAGCCCTTCTGCACCAAGCTACTTTACAAGGAATAAATTGCAAATTACTGTCATTTATTTCATTTTTTTCCTTGTCTGGCAGCTACAGTGTACATCTTGTGGACAAGATGCCTAGCAGAAGCTCACAACATAATACTATTATAACAGGTGGTCCACTCATGGAATCTATAGCAGTTTATTTTTTCTTTAATAATTATATGATAATTAATTCAACTTTTGTTCCCTTAATTACTGATCACATCCCCGTGATACACTAGCCCTTCCTTCTCTATTGGTGAGGCATGTTAGGATTGGTTTTTAGATACCTGAATTTTAGTATAAATTGGATGGTTGAACCCATTTTTAAGCAGATGAGAATTGCAGTCCTAGAAACGGTTTTAAGTCTTTGGTAAAATTATTGTAATCACTGAGTACAAAACACAGTGATACATTTCCAAAGAATACATTTGTTTTATGTAAAAGTTTTTCCTGAATTGACTTAAGGGCTCACTTATACTAATGAAGTGAAACTAACAGAAATCACAGCTATTTCTTCATGTTGCTGCCACTAAAAGTTTCTAAAAGTTTCCCTAAAACCAACTGCTGACAACTTGAAGTTCCTTCTGGGTTACCTTTTTGAATTTTCAATAACTAAGGATTTCCAACAGCAGGACAAACTTGTCTGTCAGTTTGTCCTACTGTGGTGACATGTAGACGTGAGTTTTGAGGCTGAGCCTCTGGTGTTTAAAACCCAGCAAGATGCACCTGGTG